CCCAGCATGGCAGTGCAGGTGGAGAATGAATATGGTTCCTACGCCAAAGACCCTGACTACCTGACCTACGTTAAAATGGTAATGTTGGCACTCCCCCTCTTTCCTGTGTCCGGCACCTTCTGAGCCTGCTTCTTAGCTTCCTCGCTCCCTGCACTCCTACTGACCTCTACTGAGACCTAACAGACTTGCAGGGTCAGTGTCTGATCCAGCTAACGTCCAGTACCCATATCCATGTAGCAAGTGAATTGATCCATCCTATATTATGATGGAGGTTGGGGTGGGGGAAGAGATCCCGTTTTACCCTTTCACTGCAGACAAGAGCCCATGTACGCTGACTGTTGCACTGCACGAGGTCTTCCCAGAACACACAGCGATACCCACCTGGCTGTGCTCTTTCCCATTCTCCAGATCAGAAGCTGTTCTGTGGCATACCAGACCCAGAACCTTGCCTGGGAGGGAGGTTTCTATGAGCCACAGACAAGCCTCCTCCTAAAGCTTGTAATCTGGAGCTCAGCATTAGCCAGGTAGACTAATTTGATTAATAACTCCCTCGTCTCCGATTGTACCTCAGCCTGGGCTTCTGAGTCGGGAGGGAAGAGCTGGTGTGCATGCGAGAAAGCTGTTATCCTCGTGGATCAGATATGAACCATGCTGACTTGCTCAGCTGCCGCTGACACAGTACTCATGCCAGTGCAGACAACTAACTGGCGCCACTTTATAGCTCAGAAGGTCACCTCAGGAGCTGTCCACAAGAACCCCCAAATCCTGTTGTGGGTGAGGGACGTTACTTGCTCTGCATCTTGCTGGGGGAGGGAGTATGCTCTGTTTTCAAATGCTTGTGCTACAAATGTATGAGATTCAGAGTAACTGTTAAAATCGTGGGGGGAGGGGATGGAGAAACACTGTCCTCCCTGATCTCCACCCATGCATCCCTTGGATTCAGACAAGTGGCACAGTCCTTTTTTAGCCCCTAAAACTCAGCTCCCTGGAGTATTGTGTGTATAGGCCCAGGTTTGCACCATAAACTCACTGTGCTTCCTGCTTTTCTGTCATGGCATTAGCAGCTTCTGCTTTAACCTGGCAGGTATTTCAGCCCCCTTGTGCTAGAGGCCAGTAAGAGAGTTAACTGGATTAGTTCTGGTTCAGGTCATCCTATTCCTGACAACAAGCCTGCCAGCATTCAATCGAAGAAGTCACATGGCGAGGTTCCTAATCTTCTTTGAATGATTTTCCACCTGTGCTCAGTATTCGCCTCCTTGGAGAGTTAAATATGAATTGTCTTGGTTAACAGGTTAGAAAGTTAATTTCTGGTCTGAACAAAGAATGTCAGAGCCATCTGAAAAAGTTTGTGTAGCTCACACCCCCACTTACATCAATTGATGAGCATGTAAGTAAATGTCTGTTGGGGTCCTATATCACTGTGGCATGGGGGTGGCACTGTTGCAGTGCCCTGAGATCAGCTTTGACCATTTACCAGCCCAGGTGTAAATCTGCTTGCTCACCTTTACCATAATGTTGATGATGATGCAAGAGCTAGTGATATTTCAAAACAAATTACATGCCCCAGATGAGTGGGTGAATACAATTTCACAAGGCTTTTTCCTTCTGCTTTGGTATTGTGTGTGACACCCTCTGTCTGAGGTTGTGTTGTCTAGTGGTTAGAGAGGAGGGACTAGGAAATCAGACTCCCAGGTTCTCCTCTCGGCTTTGGAGGAGAGCGTGGTGAAGCTTTGGTACAGAGAAATCAAGAGCTAGGACTCCTGGACTTGGCCTTTAACTTTTGAGCGTGATGGGTTAGTTACTTCAACTCCTTTTGCCGATCTGTGACTGTAGACTGACTTGTGTTTGTTGTTCACATGGTGCAATAACATTTAAATTAGATTTGGCATTTGAATTAAAACAAAAACAAAGCCCCTTAAGGCCCTATCCCTTTCCCCTCAAAGGTGTACTGCCTTTGCCCTTCTGTGTCCTTGTCATTACTATCTGTACCATTAGCCGCCTTCCTTAAGGTACATGAGCACAATTTCAATAACCCTGCTGCTGTAATTATCTATATACACACACCTGTACCTACCTTTGATTCTATTTCTAATTCTCATTTTCCTGTTGCACCTTGAAATCCTGTAATGCATTTTAATGTGCAGATACTCACTGTTTTTTACTTACATCGAAGTAATAAACACAATCCTAGCATTAATGCAGCACTCTAGGAATATTAAATAAGTGCAAGTCACAGAATTTCCAAAAATATCACAGTAGAATCACAGAATAGTAGAACTGGAAAGGACCTCAAACTCCCTAGGCAATTTATTCCAATGTTTAATCACCCTGACAGTTAGGAATTTTTTTCTAATGTCCAACCTAAACCTCTCTTGCTGCAATTTAAGCCCATTGCTGCTTCTCTTATCATCGGAGGCCAAGGAGAACAATTTTTCTCCTTCTTCCTTATAACCCCTTTTTAGATACTTGGAAGCTGCTATCATAAATTCTGTCCTGCTGCATGTGTGCATTCAGGTATAAACATGATAGCGAATGCAGCATAATGATGAACAGAGATTGTCAAAGAAATTGTAACCAGGCCAATATGTCTCTGAAATGTGTGTCTTTAATTTCACAGTCATAACATCGGTTTTACATAAGCTTCCTGGTGAACATTTACATTTTCCACAATCACACATAGGAAAGTTCTTTACAGACATTAGCTAACGAATCCTTGCAGAATACTCTGGTTCACACTCATGTATTTTATTAAGTGCTACAATGAGGTGGGGATTGTATTCTCTCTGTTTGCTTTGTTATGTTGCATGTGATGTCTGTAATCTTGTAGTAACCCATGTGTGTGCCTTAATTTCCCTGGGTATTTCAGCAATACCTAGTGATGGAAATTGGCTAATGCTTTCTGGGGGGGGTGCAACCAGGTGACACCTTTTGGCAGGGAAGCAGGATAGAGGCTGGAGGTGGGGCTGGCTGCTGGATGTGTGAGTGAGTCTCTCTGGCTTAGAGATGGGAGGAGGGGCCTTGGCTCTGAGCTTCCCCTCCCCTAGGTGAATTTTACTTATTGCTTCTGGTTTCTGTGTTGACAAGTATGTTCTCCACTGCATCTCTGTGGACTAATACATCTTCTGTTCTACCTGCTGGCTGAGAGTCGCGTCTGACTGGATGGGGGTGCAGGGCCTGGTGACTCTCCAGTCCTCGGTGCCAGATGGAAAAGCAGAAGCAGAAAGAGGGTTTGATCTAGGGATATAAGCGACTAGTCGAGTCACTACTCGACTAGTTGCTTTTCCCCTCGCCTTGCTGCATCTATCAGAGACAGCAGGGGGGAATAGGAGCTGGTGCTGGTGCTTAAAAGCTGGTTTCCCCAGCACCGTTTACACAGGGGAGGGGGCGGGGACAGGGCACAAACCAGGACTCAGCTGTCCTGTCCTAGCTGTGCCTCTTACTACGTTTAAAAGGCAGAGGTGCAGTGTCTGGGCCTGGGCATGAGCTGGATGGCTCTTACTACATTTAAAAGGCAGAGCTGCATGGGAATTAGCTCCTGAGGCTAGGTGCTAACTCTGCTGTGGTTCTGCAATGTCCCTCCTTATCGACTAATTGAGTGGTGGATGGAAATTCCATCAACAACTCAATTAACTGATTAAACGCCATTTAACATCCTTCGTTTGATCTAAAGGAACTGATCCAAAACCTCCTTGGGCTTTGATCCAAGCCATGTGTATCTTAGCAAAGGGCATGTGGTTGGGGATGGAGACTCTGTGATACTGGAATTATATTTGTGAGTTCATGGCTCTCCAGGCTGTGCTTGTACCATCAGATTGTATTAAAAGAGATTATACAAGCTCTAGTAAGGATCTGATGTGATTAACAAAGGCTTGAAATGCCCTAGCTTACTGTCTTGTGAGGTTGGAGGACTAAGGAGAGTCCTCATCCAGAGCTTACCATTCATGTTTTTCTGAGAGATACGTTCATTACGTGGTGATTCTGCTAACCCATCTAGGTCTTCTATATTAAATAGTAGGAAGGCTCTCTGTTCTTCTTTCCCTCCCTCACCTATGCTCCTCTTGGAGTTGAAAGCAGCAGAATGACCAGGTATGTGTCAGCCGACGGTCAGGGCAGTGTGTGTGTGTGTATGCTTCCGAGAAAAGGTTTAACGTCCGTGTCTTTACTGCTAGGACCGGGGTCCCGTCGCAGAGGGTGGCCAGCAGGCCAACAGACGCCCCATTATATAGGAAGAGCTTATTACACCTTAGATTTTAACTGCTAGAACACAAAGTTCCTTCGCAGCGGGCAGCCTGGGAAAGGCTGGAAAGGTGCCCCAACGGATCTTGTCTCCTGGGAGTGACACAGATCCAAACGCCCAAGCTCTCCCTATGTCTGTCCCTTTATGACCGGCTGAAGTTCTTTTAAATTGTGCTTGGTTCTGTTACAGCAACTGAAGGAGTCAGGTTAAAACTTAAACAGTTACAGGTTTATTAAAAGACTTATAAAAGCATATGGTTACAATGGCTATTGCTCTATTTCTTAAATGCTAACAAATACAGATTTTAAAAATGGTTACAAAGAAAATAAAGATAGAAAATAGAAATAATGGTACCAAGTGACAGCTTAATCTTTAAAGAGCTCTAAGTCTATGTATATATATATACTTAAGCAAAGGACCACATCCAGGTACAATTTTTACCCCTTTCTGTGCCTCTCGACTCCAGCGTGTCAGGCCAGGGCCGGTCTCTCAATTCCTAGGAAAGACGAATACGAGGTGGGCGTCCCCTTGGAACCTCGGGAGATCAAACACCTAACCCGACCAGCAGATAGATGGTAGATTGACACTCAGAGTAAATGCGCTGCTGGACCCATCTTTATACCCCTGGGGGCCCGTATCCTCTTTCTTATCTAAGATGCCGAATTGTACTGGTCCGTTTTGTGGCGCCAGTTCTTACAAGCAAGTTTCAAGTTAATTTACACTTGCAAGAGAGATAACTAAATTGTGAATACTAGACATTTTTTTACTGGGCGAGAGATTCCTCCCCCCGCGGATGGATGTGTGTTCGTATCAATATGGGTTTGAGTCAAGGGCACTCTTTGGCAGCCTCTTGGTCAGCAATTGGCGTATCTCTGTTTACAGCCATTCACGGTCACAGCAGCCTGGGCCTTCTGCTCTGTGTGCCCTGTATGCTCCAGGCAAGCAAAAATGGATGTTACAAGGGGGTTCTTGTCTGGCTACAGTATGTTCAAAATAATGCCCGGCTAGGATATGTGGTCCTGAAATTTGAGAGGCTAGAGGGACAGCCAAAGTCTGGTCAAGTAAAGAATCTCGGGTAAGAATGAAGAGAGGCAAAATACAGGGCTGCAGGATCTTCATAATATATGTACTTCAACCATTTCTCCTCTTGTAAAATATGACAGCATGTGAAAGGGAAGGCACCTCCTCCCATTGAAATGAATGGGGATTTTGCCATTAACTTAAATGGAAACAGGAATAAGATGTGGGTTGATGTTTACATAGTCAATTTTGGCCAGAAAGTAGCATAATGCTTTACATTGAAGTCCACAACTGTGGCCCAGATGATGCTCCTCCCATTTCTTTCAGTGGATGGACAGGATAAGAGGCCTGTCCCCTAGCCTCCTCCTCTCCACCTTGAAGAAAGACAATGCTGAACTGTACCTCCTTAGTGTGTAGGTAAAATGTTAAATTCAGGCCCCTGAATGTTTTAATTTTTTATTTAGGCCCTGTTAGACAGAGGGATTGTGGAACTGTTAATGACCTCTGACAACAAGGATGGACTGTCTTCTGGCTATGTGGAAGGAGGTATGTGCTTTTCAAGGTGGGGAAAAAAGGCTGCCTTAAATAAGAAGGGGTGCATTTCCTTAAGAAAATCTTTATTTTATTGTTTTTGCTTTGTGGGAGTGCATTGGAGCACAAGTCAAGGGCCAAAGCATCATTGTGTGAGATGCTGTACAAATATAGAACTAAAAAAGAGTCCCAAAGTGCTTAGTGCATGCTCCTTTTCAGTGTACTTCCTGGGATATATATGACAGTAGAGTAATGAGGAGCTATATATTGCTTTCCAGACCATGTGGAAGAGTCAAGGGCTGTTAGGGATGAACCACTTGGCTATAATACATTTTAATCAAATAGAAAACTCGTCCTGTTTGGTGCTGAGTATCTGCAACTTACTTTGGAGTTCTTTGGAAGATGAGAGATCAGATACAAAGAGGCTGAAATTGTGGTTAATACTCATAATACTGCCGTAGCTATTTATTTCAATTTAACATATTAAAAATACCTACGTATAAGCACTAGATATCCTAACACTTATTAAAAGTGCAATCATCTTTTGTTAGGACTTTGGTCTTTAGGTTTTAAAAAAAGATGGTCTCATTAAAAGCCAGAAATTGGCCATTCTAGAAGTGTTGAAAATAGTTTGTGGAGGGGCGCTAGTCCTAGGTTACTGGTCAGCCCTAGGTTATTGTCATGGCAGAGCATTTGTCCCTGGAGCATGGAGCTTTTGGGGTGGGGAGGGACAAATTAACTTTTGTGGCATAAATCAAAGGAAATAGTTTGGTGCTTCAAAGTACTGTTCTTTAAAAAAAAAAAAAAAAAAGAAAGAAAGAAATTCTCGAAACAGAAGCTATAATCTCCCTGAAAATAACCCCTAAAAACTTATCTTGGCATCTGCTTTGCTGCCATGTAATTCCAGCAGACCCCCGTCATATACTGACAGAATCAAATTGGAGACCTTTAGAGCTTATTGCGTTAGCCCTATAACACATGAGCCAAAAGCCAGCCGGCTATTAGCCTAGTCTGTAGAACAGAGTCATTATTCTATCTGTAAGTGGTTTCAGTGCCACTAGATGGGACATTACGCCCCAGCCAGCAAGTATGTGGGTTATATCAGAAATACAGAAACCCAAGTGCATCAGCTCCAGTTTCTGTGTTTTGTATTTGATGGGGTTGTATACGGCACCATATTGAGATGGTGCTTTTTCCAGGCCTGATCCTACAACTAGCCCTTAATCACTTGAGTGTTCCCATTGACTTCAGCAAAGTTACTCACTTGAGTAATGATTACTGTCCTGTGTAATGGTTTCAGGGCTGAGTTCATACTCCTTAAGTCAGTCACAAGTGCTGCTGATGTTCAATCCAGAGAGAACTACATGGAGATCACAAAATGCAAGATTTTCCCCACTCTTTGCTCTTACATTTTAAATAACTAAAAAAGCAGGGGAGGCAGACAAATGCATTCTTGGTTTAACTTTGAAGCTTGTGGAGTTGCACCCATTGAGTTGCTGGTTTAACTTTGAAGCTTGTGGAGTTGCACCCCGACTCAATGTAGCCTGTTTTAGTTTTCCTTTCATTTACAGCAGTTTCCATCCTTGTCCACACAGGGCCACTCTCTCCCTGCATTTGAAAGGGGTGGGGGTGGAGTTCCCCTTTTTAGCACTCACCTTCCTTGGGAATGTTTACCGCCTGGGAGCTTTCTTTCGTGCAGAGTTGTCTTTTCCAGAGGGCTGTGTGATGAGAGGGCTTTGATACCGATTTGCCTGTTAGATGTCATAACAATCTGCTCATTAGAGTCAACATGTCAAATAATCAGGAACACGGAATAACTAGGGTTTCAAGTGATGCTGCTGCAGCAGCAAGGTGGCTGTGAAAACACAAAAGGGAAGGTAAAATCTGCTGTAGAAATAAATGGAAAGATAAGAGGAGAAAATGCTGCCATGGAGCTGGAGAGGAAATTAAAGCAATGGTCCTGAGGGCTGGTTCATTCTTCTGCTCAGTGGAGGTTTGGTTTCTGTTTAAAATCATGCATGATTCCCATTGGTGCTAGTGGTAGACAAGTGCCTTGCAGAGAAGAATATCCATTATGGAAGGGCATCTGCCCAGGGCATCATAGCCAGTTGTCTTGTTTTCTCCTAAGCCCCTATTCTGTGGCTGCAAATTAGTGCAGTGGTGGGAGCCAACTTTCTGGTGGTGTACACCCCCTCCATACTCATGGACACACCATGTGCTGCAGCTCTCTGGGAGTAGCATTGAAGCTTGTAGCTCACAGTCTGCATGGACCCATCAGCCAACAACGTGGGCTAAGAAAGGAGGTGCAAGAACTGCAGAGGCTCCTGGAATCCATGGGCTACCGTGGCAACACCAAGAGGCTTCAGTATTTCCCCACAGGCTGGAGTAGGGTTCAGTGTCTCCTACCCAACAATCTCCCGCATCCAACTCAGTGGGTCAGACGGGGCTCTGGGGGCAGGCTTTGCATCTCTGCACCGATTATCTATTAGAATTTAAACCAAGGGAGTAGGCATGGGGCCAGGGGTGTCATTTATTGGGTTATCCTAGGAAAAGTTGATGCATGTGTTCTTTGAAGATGGGAGCTGCTTAAGAGGGGGATGGAGAACTTTCATAGAACCTAGCTAGTTGGGTCAGTTAACTTTCTAGCTCCCCAGTGTCTTTGCTAGCCAGTCAGCAGCATATATTACTAATTCCTAGTGGACAGGTGGCCTCATCCCCTAGAAACCTCCATCACAATCTGCACTCATTGGCAGCCTCGTTAGCAGTGAACCTAAGGGTTAAATGGGCTGCAGAATTCAAACTCCTGTCCCTCCAACTACAGTCTGAAGTGCATTGGATGGCATGTGTGTAAAACTAACTCTGCTGCTGTCAATGCTGTACCCAGTCTGAGGCTTTGAGCTCGGTTTTTCCAGTCTCCCACCATTTTTAGTGTAGTTCTTGATTTGCATTGGGAGCAGTACTGGACACCTTGTCTCCATCAGTGTGTTCCATCAGTAGTAAATACATGTCTTGTTTTTGGGGGGAAAAAAAATCAGGGCTTGCACATTAGTTACAGAAATCTGTGAAAATCAACGTAAAAATGGTGACATGCTGGCTCTTATGTTTGTAAATATCTTATTTGAATCATTGTGCTTGACCAAACACAGGCTGCAGCTGATGCCAGCCCTTTTAAATTATTATGGAAAAAATCATAATTCTGTATTAACAATACATGTACCCTAGCTCCTTACATCACAGACTCTTGGACTAGTGTGTCTTAAAGGTTAGGCAAGGACAAGAGAAGTTAAGGGCTCTTCCTCAATCCTGGAGGGATGGTGGTATGAAGATTGGGTGACTGGGCAGCAGTATATTCTGTTCCAGAGGCAGGTCCTTGTTGAAGTGCCATCTGCACTTGTTCTTCTGGACTATGCAGTGCCTTTCACCCAGCATGCATCCAGCATAATCTAGCTGTCGGCTTGTTTCTGGTGAAATACTGGTGTGCCTCCCTGCTGAGAAGGAGACTTTAATTGGGAGATCTACCCATCTTGTTCATATTGTGGTTTTTCAGTCCCTACTCTTGTTCACCTGCCCCCACAAAACTATTAAGCAGTAAGCCTCTGCCAGGACTAGAGTATCCTGCAGCTAAAGCCTGGGAGATGAGAATTGCATCCAGATATGATTGCTAATAATAAGAGTTCTCCTTTGCAGTGCCTTTTATCTAAGGATCTCCAAGTACTTTACAGGCACTAGTTAAGCCTTGAGGTCCCCCTTGAGGTGGGCTGCTGTAGTTTATTTCTTGTATCTATGTATGACCATTCGGAGCTAGAAATGTGGCCTACACCTATTTCCCTGTTTGCTGAAGTCCACAAGATGAGAAGCTTCATGGTAGGTCAGGACTCACATTGGAGACCTCCAAGTAGCGCTCAGGTGTGCTGCAGGATGTTGTGTTAATGAGTTGGCTTATTTTCCTCTGAATTGGTGATGGGTTGATGCCCCATCTTGGTGTTTAGAAACACTCCATCGATTGAGGGGTTTGATTACTTATCAAATCAATACTAATGAAGGCTCATTCCCTCCCCTCCCTCAGCTTTGGCCACTATTAACTTGCAGAAGGTGGATTCCACCCTCCTGATCTATCTGGACACAATACAGGTAAGATTTGTCTTTGTTCAGCCTATTCTTATAATTGAAACAGCGGCATCTAAACACTGATACCTTACTTTTGTGGTGGATATTCCAGGCTCTCCCTTCCCATAGGGCCAATTCACAGTAAAGTCAATTGAAAGTTCCCTATTGTTTTTCAGTGGAAGTTTGGGAAGGATTTTAATAAGTCTGTATCCCAGTACTCACTCACTGCTTGCTTTCTCACTTGGTTGTGGAGCTTGGCAAGTGTTTGCAACTGGGTTCTATCTTTGGAAAACCAGGTGGGGTAGTGTATGCACCATTGCATCAGAATTTCTGCAATTGAGGTTGGCTCTGGTGTAATACAGAGAGAGACTCAAGCTGCAGATTAAGCTTTGAATTTTGAATGCCTCAATGATTGGGAATATTTGGATTTAAGATTCTGGTTCAGCCTATAATGGGTGAAGCCTGATTTCGTGATGATCCTGGATACTCCTAAAACTGGGGTTTGGGAGCAGAGTTTATCTTAAGCGTCACAAGGATTAGATGTTCAGGACAGAAGACCACAGCTTTTCAAGTGTGGAGTTGCAGTCATTGCAACCCTGAGGGGACACAGCCAACCTCCAGGTTACCAGGAATATGAAAGACTTTGGCAGCACAGTAGAAAGGTCCGGGCTGTAGGCAAAATGAAGGTTTAGCTATAGATTGGGTAAACAACTAGCTTCCTTCTCCTCCTTTCCCGCCTTCTATGGTGTTTGGAGACTGGGCAGTAGTTCTGCTGCATCTTGAGAAAATGGCTGGGTGGGAACGAGTTCGGAGGAAGAGTGAGATGCCTCCAGGAGATTTGTTACATCGCAAAGCCACCAGCGACATGTGATTAAATTATTCCCCTTGACCGAATTGAATTTGCAGCATGAGGTCTGTGTTTGTCCTTTTAAGCACTTAACAGATTTGAACGTCTGGCAATTCTTTTTCTAATATTGAGTGATCGATTAAACAATTAAAGTCAAGTTTTGGCAGGAGAAGGCAGGACTGCACAGCAGCCTTTCCGGCAGACATGTCCCTCACACCTGTAACAGAGTGCCTCTTGCATTCTTATGGGGGCAGAGGATGGCATTCTGAAGTGTTCTGCTGGTGGAGCCCTTGGGATCTGTGAGCAGATATCCTATTTCCAGGTCCTAATCCGACTCCCCTCCACCTGGTTTCCATTGTTCCATGACTCAGGCAGCTATTGAGCCACTGAAGAGAGGCCAGAATAATTTCACCTTGGCAACAGGGAGTTGGACCTGACTGCTTGGGCAGCATTCCTGATCTCTGTGTGTTCTGCTTTTGAGTATTCATGTGCAGGTACCACTGGATCTCGCAGCTGGGAGGCTGCCTTTGTTGCAGCTTGAGAGCTCTTTATGTACGTGGAGATGATGTTTGTGGGTTTCCTTTAAAGAGAATCATGCCCACAGGAACTTGGAATCATTCTGTTCCTAGCATGAAATGCCTTCTCTTTTGTCCTGTAAAAGTTAATTATAGCCAGTTATCTCAGAGAGCCAGAAATCTTATCAACTCAAGTGTTTAATGGGGAAGTGATGGGAAGGTTCCGTGGACTTGTACTAAATATCTGAGGGATTAAAGGTAATTTAAAATTAAATCCCCTGTGTATCACAATTTTTGTGTGTGGGCTAAGTGTTTCTTAAATCAAGTGAACTCACAAAGCCAACTGAAGGCTGCTTCTGTTTGCCAAGCTGCTTGGTTCACACAGTCACAGCAGTGTTGGGATCTGGGTAACAATAAGTCTTGTGTCTATGACGTAGTGAGCCAAGCCAGAGTCAGGCTGAGCAATGTCTTTTCAGAAGCATTTGGTCATGGAGGGGCCAGTGAGCTGCCGACCAGGCTGTGCTGCAGCCCCTGTGGGGGGAAGGAGGGGCAGTGAACAGCGATAGAGGTTTCAGTCTTCTCTAATAAAGCATATTCAACATGGTAGCTCATTACAGCAGCTTCACTGGGAAGTTTGGGTGCATGATACCATAGTTGAGGGCTCCACCAGCCTTTTAGGCATATCCCTAAATAGTCTTTTTTGTCAGGTTGAGAATTGGACCCCATAATTTAGCCACTCAGTCTTGAAAACTGTTCTCTGGTTAGGTACCTTGGAACAATAGGTTCGGGCAATTGAAACAGGGTCTGGATTATAGAGTTCATGAAACGGACCCCATGGGCTGGTTGGGCCTAGTACAATAGCTGCTGTTCGCTCTCTCCTCTGGTATCCTAGTAGTTTTGCCATCCTGCCTTGCTACTCCCTTGCTGTCTCTATCCTAGCTGCTGTATAACTTTACCAGCAAGTTCCAGTCTTCACCTGCAGTGCCCCCACTGCCTGCTGTTCCAGTCCAGGCCAGGGTACCACCCAGCTCTGCTAATGCACCTCCGTCCTGATCTGCAACTCTCACACGTTCATTTCAAGTCTGAGCTTCTCCTAGGCAGGTAGTGCCAGGTGTATGAGTAAGCTAAGGTGGCGAACTGTATTAGATTGCTGATGCAAATCAAATTTAAGCAAAGGCTACCAAGCCCTGGATTAACCCATTATCCACTTACCTTTGTCTTTTTGTAACTGATCCAGAGAGGCAGTGGAGGTGGGGTCTTGGCTGTGTCAGGT